AAAATTATTTAAAAATCCCCCAAAAATACCAAAAATAAGTCTATTTGTAACGTTCAGTGCTTCATCTGTGAACATATGTGAAAAAATCCATTGACCAAATTACGCTAACCAAGCTTGTTGAAAAAAATGGCGTAAAAATTTTTCTACGTATTTCACACCAAAACGCGATTAATCACATGAAAGAGAATAAAAAACCATATCATAACACATTGCATCAAATCACGAAAAAATCAACACTTCACAAAATAAAATGTATGATGTCAATTTTAATTATTTTTTACAATTTTTTTTCTTTGTTCTGCCGAGCAAAAATTAACACGTCTCATTCAGCTCTATATCTCATCAAAAATGAGCTAATAGAATGACAATTTAATAACATAAACCACAACTGTCTAGTGCGACTGCAGCGCTCAAAAAATGTTGTTGACTAAATTACACTATAACCAAATTACGCTACTTTACCCTACGTATTGTTTCCAAATTTCCCGGCATTATAAATGTTATTTTTCTCTTTCATATATGTATACCAAAAAACTGTGAAATTAGTTCTTTAAGTTTCAGGGATTAATTTTGGTTATTTTTATATACCTTGCTTTATATATGCCAATCGTTTATGTAAAATGGAAAGTTTATTGCGTATTATTCATAAAGATAAGTCGGATTCTTTAATTTGAAATATCTGACAGGAATATTTGAGAAAAAATTTTCAAAAATTCATAAAAATTAATAAGAATCGCAAGATGATATGTTACGATTTATAAAAAATCAATATTCGCGCCTGTTAATACCCCTCGGCATCACATACTAGCTTTTGCATTTTGCATTTTACAAATTTACGTGAGAATCAACAACATATTTGACATTTGTGCGCGGTGTATGGATGGAATCGATAATACAACCGCCTTTCCGCACATAAACCAACGACTGTCGCTTACATCTGCACCGCACCGCTGCGTTCGAAACTAATCGCGCAAATCACGCTCGCAGCGAAACGTCGTGTACTAATTACAGTTTGTCAATGAGCGTGTCATTCCGTTCAATATAAAATTCCGTTTTCCTTGATACAAAGATTTAATAACACCGACAATCGCACGCATACGTCGTATCAAATTGCGAATTTTAAAAGATGAATGTATCTGTTTGAATATAAGTTAATGAACGCAATTTAAAAATTAAATAGTAAAATTTAAATTAAAATTTTCTAAAATTGAATATTAAAAGAAATAATTATAATTAAATATTATGATAAATAATTATTTATTTGAATAAAAACTCAGTCGTGTTTATAAATAAAAGTAAATATCATATATTTCAATAAAATTTTGATTGTTTCATTAAATTTTGTTTTAATTTTTTAATTTATATTTATTGGATATTTTTGTATAGATTTTATTTTATTTTGGGAATATCATTTTATTAATTTTTAATTCTATAGGATTAAAAATTTTTTTTTTTTGTTTTATTGATGACATCGTATTGGGGTTCCGGGGATATTTACTGGGGGCCCCATCCATATTTATTACTGTAACTCTAATAAAAATGGACAAATTTTAATTAATTTTTTTTTTTAATAGATAGTGAATCGACCAAGAAACAAACCCATAATGTTTAAAAGTCGATAGAATTAAGAAGCTCTAAGATGTACAAGTTCATAGAAAAAGGAAAGTTCAAAAACGCAATAAAATCTCGATTTAGCACCTTTTTTCAAACAATCATATCTTTTTGTTCATAGATCAATTTGAAAAATCCTTGAAAATTCTGAAAGGGCACACTTGAAATATACTACGCCACAAAATTAAAGGATCACCTGTTCTATCCTCTAAAAATAGGCAAATTTCAAGATAGAGCAACTTCGTCAAAAATGATCGTAACGAGATTTTTAAAAAAGTATTTTACAGCTTGAAATCTCCACTTTTTAAGTTGATATTTTAGAAAACGATTAACTGACTTATTTCGAAGTCGCATTGATACAAATGGAAATGTGACAAATCGCAAAATTTTTGCAAAGTTCCATGGCTCGAAATAAAAATTGCACTCAAACGCGGTGTACAGTTTTTGAAAGAATGAATCTTTCTCTTTAATTTGCTTTTTTGTTGAGCGTCGTACGATTTTTTTTCACCGAGTTATTCAACGTTGAAGCAAAAATGACCCTTTTTGCTTCGATGTTGAACAACTCGGTGAAAAAAAATCGTACGACGTTCAACAAAAAAGCAAATTAAAAAAAAAGATTCATTCTTTCGAAAGCTGTACACTGTGTTGATGTGCTATTTTTATTCCACGCCATGGAACTTTGCAAAATTTGAAAAAAATTTTACAATTTGTCACACCCTTATTTGTATCTGTGCGGCTCCGAAGAAACTCAGTTAGTCATTTTCTAAAGTATCAACTTGAAAAGTGAAGATTTCAAGCTGTAAAATGTTTTTTTTTTTAATCTCGTTATGATCATTTTTGACGAAGTTTCTCTATCTCGAAATTTGCCTATTTTTAGAAGACAGAATAGGTGATCTCTTAATTTTGTGGCGTAGTGTAGTAACAAAAAAAATTTGGCAATTCGATATTTAATTTTTTAACAAAACTGCGAGCAGTCCCGGGGACCCCACGCTCACTTCAACTGTTCACTACTCTGTTGTTTAGCAACAATTGTCGCGCATCAACACGTTTTCCTACTGAGGAGATCCCAAACTTCTTTACGTCAATATCCCAAACCTCTCCCCTTCCAATTTCAGAAATGCCAAGCCGAGAAAGTTTCACTAGAGTCCCGAGGACCTCTAGGGTTAACAATAAGCTTTATATTTTATAAAAGAATGAGAAAGAAGACATATTTTATTTCATATTTAATTTTTAATATGGATAATGCAAATAATATATAACACAATCAATGAATGATAGACTAACAAATAAGATTTTATTCAACAATGTGATGACTAAAGAAATGTACTTGCCTATAATGTCCAATGCTGATTATAGTTTGTTAAAAATTAGCATTTGTTTTTTCTAACGTCACTACATAAATGCACGGATGCGCCTGCAATCGACCGGCGGATTGCATTTCGAGCGAATGCCACCCTTGTGAAAGGGAATGATAGAAATTCAAGCGATTACAATAGCAACACGCAAACTTTGCCCCTTGGGTAAAATATCCATCACTGGCATGATTGCAGATTTTTCGCGAAACACGTGCAGTACTTGGAGTGTTGTATAATTGATTGATAATAGCAAAAACGTTAGCTATTTTCTTTGATTATGAGTGGGTGTTGAGTAGATAATTTAAGAATTTTGATAATCTTTAAAAATTAGTGATTTCACAATACTTACTAATCGTTACAATTATTTTTAATTCGAAAAATTACATACAATCTTTGATATATTTTATAGTTTTGAGAATATGCCAATATTAAATTATTAAAAATCAATTATCTTTTAGAAACATTAAGTTTGTAATAATCTTAAAATTATCTTAAAATGTATATCAATTTTTATGTATTTTAGAAATACATTTTGCATTCTATCTTTAATGAATTTAAAAAAAGTAAAAACAATTTAAAAATAAGAATATGAATGATTCTACACACACACACACACACACACATACACGCCTTGTCGACTCAGTACGCACGCACGCACGCACGCACGCACGCACGCACGCACGCACGCACGCACGCACGCACGCACGCACGCACGCACGCACGCACGCACGCACGCACGCACGCACGCACGCACGCACACGCGCACACGCACACGCACACGCACACGCGCAGGCGCACACACACACACACACACACATACACATTCATTCTCTGTCAAACGGGCCGTCCCCTCTGTCCCACTTCAATTTTTGAGATATAATACTTCAAAAGGTCTTAAAATTTTCGTGAAAAGTGTCTACTTTTTGACGCCGTATTGGCCTTTTGAAAATTCTAGATGGCGGATATATATAATATATATATAATGTCCCATTTTATATTTGACAGTCAAATATTTAGAAATCGCGAGGTTCAAGAGAAAAATGTTTCAGACAAAAGTTGTAGGGTTTCGAGGGACATAAGATGATAATATTGGTTTGACCCTGAGTAGCGTTGTCAAGGTCCGGACAAGGTCACTTTGAATTTTTTTAATGGAACCCCCATTTTTCATTGCACATTCTTATAGCTTATTTCGAGAGCTTTCCAAAACGTATAGATAAGAAAATGTATTTTGATTAAGTAAATCTTGAGTTATAAAGTTTAAAAGTTACAATACCACCGGCGTTAGCATTATCTAAAGCGTCCGAACAATGGCTGAAACCTTTTGAATGTTATTTAGGATCATGATTTTGACAACATGTGTCCAAGCCGTGATTATTGGAGATTGTTTCTCTTATTTTCATTTTTGAAAATTATTTTTATTTTGTGAAAAAAAGAGAAACTTCCTTCAATAATCACGGCTTGGACACATGTTTTCAAAATTATGATCATAAATAACATTTAAAAGGTTTCAGCCATTGTTCGGACACCTTAGATAATGCTAATACCGGTGGTATTGTAACTTTCAAACTTTATAACTCGAGATTTACTTAACCAAAAAACATTTTATCTATGTATTTTGGAAAGCTTTCGAAATAAGCTACAAGAATATGCAATGAAAAATGGGTGTTTCCATTTAAAAAATTCAAAGTGACCTTGTCCGGACTTCGACGACGCCACTTAGGGTCAAACCAATGTTATCATCTTATGTCCCCCTCGAAATCCTACAACTTTTGTCTGAAACATTTTTCTCTCAAACTTTGCGATTTCTAAATATTTGACTGTCAAATATAAAATGGGATTTTGTGTGTTATACATATATGTATATCACATATCTATTATATATTTTATATTTTTGTCATGTATCTTGTACAGTACAAAATTACCTTCTTAAAAAAGTAAAAAAGGCGCTAAGAGCACGCATTCTAAAAAAAAACTGTAGTATCAAATTAAAAAAATGAAAGTGATATTGTGATATTTTACTCAACCCAAATGATATGTACCTAAAAAGAACTTGTACCAAATTAAACTCAATAAAAGATTTGATATCAATAACTGACGCTAAATTACAATCCTATAAAAAAAATTTAAAAGTAAAGATTTAAAAAAAATAAAACCTAAGTGGTACGTATCTTTATACTCCCATTGAAGATCTTTCTATTCTAATCAAAGTGGTAGTAGCTTTAATTTTTTGCAAAATTGTGTTATCTTATTTAATCCGAGTGATATGTAATACATGCTAACTACTTTTTAAAAAATAAAACGCAAGTAGTA